TTTCGGTCGTAAAACTAAGTGAAAAAAAACTCTAAAAACATAAATGATTAGAAAAATGATTGAATTAGTCGTTAATCTGTAGGTCTTTAGTCTCTTTTCATCCAATCATTCATCGGAAAAATGAGTCACAAAATAGAAATGTTTGCACAAAATATAATCATAAAAATGGTTTTACATTATATTATATGAGCAAAAAATATTTAAATACATCTATAATACATATCCAAAGTTTATATTTTATATTAAAAATTGATTACATATTCTTATCAAATGCTACATCTTTTCGGGTGAGGAATGGGAGACAAAAAAAAGTATTCAAAAACGGCACTAAACTTAATGAATATAACTTCTATTACACATATAATAGCGGAAAATATTTTCCTATTTTTCAGTTTTTAAACCAAATAAAAGCAAAAAATGGTATAAATTTTCTTTTGAATCGAGAATTAAAATTAATGATTAAATATTGATAACACTGTTCCCTCACTCACACACACTCACTCACTCTCTCTCTCTCTCTCTCTCTCTCTGACAGTGAGATTGGTATCGATAAAACATTTTAAGGACTTTTTATTATTAAATTATGAATTAGATGTGAGAAACACTTGGAGAGAGAAAATACAAATACAATCCAATAAATAAAATTGAAATACAAATTCAAACCAAAACTCATTTTTCACGTCTAACAGTCTATAAGTGATTTCGTGTGCAATAATAAGAAAATATAGAAAACTCTAAACAGAAATACAATTACAACTCAAAAATACAATCAAGAATTACAGACTCCTTAAAATTGTAATAATAATTGAAACCTTAGTTTTCATGTCTTGAATACATCGTTGGACTCAGTTATCGGTAATTATATATAAAACTTATAGTTACATAAGGTTTTGGAGAAAAAAATCAATTCAATGGGATCGACAACCTATAGCTCTGTCGCCAAACAAAGGCATCGCAAACATTATTTAAACTCAAAAATTTTAAGAGAAAAAATATTTATAATTCAAGCGAAAAATCTAATTTACGGATCAATCAAATCAATTATAATAAATATGATTTCATCGATAATAACGTTAACATAAAAATCTATATTTGATATAAAATTAAATTAAACACAACGAGAATTTATTTATACATCGAAAACACCAAAAATTATTATAAGAATATAAAAATAAACTCAAAATTAAGTACAAAATTATCGGAAAGTAATCTGTAATACAAAACACATACAGAACTCGTTTTGGCGTAAAAGTGAAACAGAATTATAAATAAAAATAAGAAAACTATAAATAAAATAATAAAAACGATACTATTTTTTACTCTCAAACTAATTATATCACGAATCAAATGAGAAAAACATTAAGATTTTGTAAAAATTGAAAACATTTTCCGTAATCATAAGAAACAAAAACCTAATTTCAAGCCTCAAATGGGAATTAAAATAAATTAAACATAAAAACTATAAATTTCCATAAAAATAGTTAACAATAGGAGAGACCGACAGTGGGGACACAGACAGACAGACAGTACACAGAAAACGCATTCAATAGACATGTGAATAGTTTGTAGAAAATTAAATATAAATTTTGATAACAAATTGCGAGCACACAGTCGACCACCAAAACCATATGGATGGGGGGACAGGGAGTCGGGAACGGCTGAGAGTGTGCACACACAATAGAGTGAGAGTGTGTGTGTCGACAGTCTATTGTATTTATTATTGATTTTGGAAATTATTGAGTTATATATTATATATATGTTTGGGTTGAGAGCCAAGTGAAGCAAATATAAATCCATTAAACGTCTCACTCTTATGCCTTAATATTAGTCTTTTGTCTTAACCATGGCTTTGATATTGTCGTTAATAATGAAAAATCTTTAAACGACACGCAATTCGTCATAACGTTATGTATTTGAGTATTAAATTCAGATTAAATTTTAATTAATATCATATTATTCTCACAATTCAATAACAATAACAAATCGTAAGTAGAAATGACTGCAATTTCTAGCAAACAATTAAGCTCTCAATGCGAGTATTGCCCGTAAAAAAGGGCCGATTTTCTAACATTTGCTCAGAAAATAGTTAATTATGTGTTAATGAAAGTCTGGTATCGGAAACATAATAGAAAAACACACATAAAATTCAAATTAAATATTTGTTTAGAAAAATATTGGGAAAAAAAATTAGACGTTTTCGACGGCGAAGGATACGACTAAAGAAAGTAACCGAAAGACACATAAAACTCGACAAATATTACAATAAAAGCACTCAACACTACAAAAATAATATAATTAAAAAAACTTTTAATAAAAATAAGTAAAAATAGTGAAGTGTGTGTTGAGGGGTATATTGAAAAAGGAGCAAAAATACTCGTTTTAAATAATCTTTGGAGTAAAGCATTAATTAATTTCCTTTTTTGCTGTTTTTGTTTCGTATCCCAAGAATGTTAACGATCCAAACGAGTCCTTTCCTGAGGGAAAATCGCTATCAAACAGACGTTTAGAGGTTTCATTCACTCTCTCACTTGTTTAGTTTGAGACAAAATCGTCAAATATTTAAACGATAATAACAACGAATAAAAGGATTATTTGAATTTCATATTAGAGCCGAATATATATCGTAAAAATATTGGGAAGTTTTTGTGCGATAATAAAATTACGGCAACAAAAATAGCAAAGAATTTGTTAATTACAATATTTTGCTATATTATATAATTCCTGTATTTAGAAAAGCTATCTAAAAAATGTTTCTAAATTCATAGATTAAAAATGTGTTCAAAATATTATATAAAATCATTTACTTTTTCTTTTCAATATTTTTCGGTAACATTTGCACAAAAAACTGATTCTGTATTTCACTTAAAATATATTTTTTGGCAACACTTCACACAAAAACGGTTTACACATAAAATTTATACAAATTTTGCACACATTTCGGTTTAAAATGCTAAAAATAAACTTGGATATTTAATGAATTTGAATATAGCTTAATCGGATGCAAATCATAGAAAAACATTTATTAAAAATTTTAATTGAGACTTAAGTTTAATAAAATAATTCATTTAAAAAATGGATTAAATATTTACATTTGAATCTCAATATGAAATAACTTATTTGAAAAGGTTTTCTTATAAATCATATCAAACACTACTAATATGTTTATGAAATGTGAATAAACAGTGAGTGAATCAAAAAGTAATGGATATTATAATTCAAAATAAGTCAAAATATTTTACATAAAAATTAATTTGAACATAATTTGAATAATAAATTCAAATACCACTCGTTATGATTACATAAATAATAAAATATTGAAAAGACTATAAGAATAGAGAGTGAAAATAAAAGTAACAAATACCCTGGTATTCAATTGAGGTAAAATTGAATGAAGTGAATTAACAAACAAAAAATTCAATTTCAAAAAACTAATTTATTATAAAATTAAGTTATTTTTCTAATAATGGGGTTTGAATAAAACAAATGAAATATACTTTTTTGGTCACAAGTGTTGCCTCTAATAATAATTATAAACAAAAATAAGTGGTTTTAATACAAAATTCAAACATTAAGGTCAATTGTGCGAATGTCGGTTACTCTTATCAATTCAAATAATTGTTTCATAAGTTATTAATAATAATTAATTAATAATTAAAATGATGAGAAATGAGAAAGAGCATTTCAGTTGATAAGAATTTGATTTGAAATTAAAATTTTTAAACCTATTATTCAAAAGAAGAGCAAAAATGGTATTTTTGTATCATTCATTAAATTACAATATAATGAAAATTAATTTCTTATTTACTTTTTAGTCATTTTTCGTATTATTTATATATAAATGTGTTTTACGTTTACGTGTGAGAAGGTGTGTGTGATATTGAAATATGTTTCATACGATTAATAAAATACAATTCAATAAAAATCAATTACAATGAGTTTTGTATTGTTGTGTGAAATAAACAAATTGGGAACAAAATCAAATGTATTAATAATATATAAAAACGAAACAAAAATCATTAAAATACAAAATGTTACGTAAAATAGGATTAATTAGTTTTATTTGTGTTGTAATTGTGATCAATGGCATAGAGTTAGAGAGAGATGGGAGGGATGGGAGATAGAGATGTGATGTTATTAGTGATTAAAATGACAATTTCATGTCCAAAACGAAAATTCGTTATTTGTATGAAGAGATGCACAAAAGAGGAGGAATGGGATGTCATTAGGAGTAAACACTTCAATGGGATGTATATTCAATGTATACAATATTTGGCTAATAATTCATTTTTTCTGGTAATAGAAGTGATATATAATAATATAAACAACAAATCCGTTTTCATATCCAAAAAACATTTTTTCGTATTTCAATCCAAAAGCAGTCAATCATTGAGTTATTAATAATCAAAAGTCTTTTATGTTCTTAAAAAGTGTTTATGAATACCATTGAAGACTAGGGGCGACACCACTTCGAAAGCTTATTATCACTAATAAACTGATCATTTCTATTGGTTTCCAATTCGTCGGTAATATTAATAATATAATGTTTTTAGACAGAGATTGCAAACGATTGAAAACCAAAGGGTTTCGCATTTTATACAAATTGTTTATGTTTTTCACTCGAGCATCTTGTGCTCAAAATATGAAGTCCTAAAAAACTTATCAATATTCAATCCAAAAAATCTTTTATATATTTATTTTGTTACACAAAAGACAATCGCTTTCGTGTCTGTGTTTATCATTTGATGAGAAGGTATCATACGGTGAGAGAGAAAACTAATGATGGGATGCAATGGCAATGCAATGATCATTCATTTCCTTATAATCATCGTCAGTGTAGTCATCACAGGAGGTGGACATGAAAATAGAGTTAATTAATAAATATTACATTCTTTGCGGCAAATTGTCGACAAAAACGGCATTCAAAATATTCTCTTAATCTTCTAAAATGTTATTTAAATATAATATTAACGCAAACTTTCAATTAAATTAATATTTATTATACGGGGTATTGTAATTCAAATATAAAACCAAATGAAATAGAAGTTTGTAATTAATTTTCACGTGATTTTCAGAGAAGTAATGTCCGACAAAAATAATAATAATACAGTTTTAATAATAATTATGTTTCAAATGAAACGAACCAACAGTGTTATGATGGCAGCCATAGAATTGACAGAAAAAATAATAACTTTAAATAAAAATTTGATAAAAAAGTTTTGCGATTCTTAGTCACACTTTGCTATCAAAAGAATTGTCATAAAAACAGTTAAAAAATCTAAGAATTGCTCTCTTTTTGCGATTCTTGGTGTGCATCAGAAGAATGTGTTGTTTTAAACTTCAAATCATAAGAATTTATTTGTTGTAAAACTTAAAAGTCTTCTGTGTTAAGTGTTCATAAATTGCAAAATATAATTAAAAGGAAGTAGTAATCAAAAAATACAACTAAGAGACAAAAACTGCAATCATTTTGTGTGTCTATCGTGTATTTGCTATAAATGTCTTAATCTCTCGGCTTTGGATAAAAATGAACGACGATTTAAAATGTACTGATAATCCAAAAGTCCAATAATCAATGGTATGGCTATTGGTTATGTGTAATGTGTGTTGACATATGGATATAAAACACAACAACACAGTGTCAGTCGATTATTGTGAATCGATTTGCGGTAATAATTAATAATAATATCGATAATAGCGTTAGAGTTGAGTCCACTTGCAATACGAATGAGGAGAATACGAGAGATAGAGCTATAAGAAGAGGAGTTCACAGATGAGAGAGAGAGAGAGAGGGAGAGAGAGTGGAGCGGTATGCGTGGTGAGAGTCATCTCAATTCCACTGATAGGGTCCCTGGAGTTGAGAGTATGCGCCGCCGGCACCAGTAGGCAAGTTGTATGTGGCGTTGGCCGCCATGTTGGTGGTGTGAGCGGCGTGCGCCTGGTTATAGTTGGTGGCCGTGGCGGGCGCCCCACTCGGGTGAGCGAAGTTAGCGGTGAATGAGTGCTGATTATAGCCGCTCATCAGTTGGGCTGATAGAGAATTAGACAAAGATGTAGACATTGTGGACAGGGGTGTCATTACGTGGTGAGCATTGGCTATACTTTGTTGTGCTGAGTTGGGACTGGGGTTCAACTGTTGTGCTGTCGTCGGCGGCGATGAGGAAGCGGGTGATGGCGTCGACTGACTCTGTTTTGTGATCATGTTTGAGGTCTGATGGTGTTGTGCCGACTGTCGGATGTCCTGACCGTCGCGTTGTAACGAATTCGAGTCCGAGTCGTCGTTCTCGGAGCCCTCCGTCGACAGTCGCGCCTGTTTTGGCGACGGACCGCCCATCGCCTGAGGCGCCCCCTAAGTGTACAACACATACACAATTAGTGCCATTCAGTAGTGGTAGGCATACGGGGGTCGGGATGCGAGTCAAGTGATTGTCAAAGAATTAATGGTTCAAAACGAGAGTCAAAACGAGAGACAAATGAAATGAAAACTAATTACAGAATAACGAATAACATATTAACACAAAAATTGTGATAAAAATAAAAATGTGTTTCAAAAGAGGGTAAAGAAAAAGAAAACTTAAATAAAGAGAGAATATGTAAGAATAAAAATGATGTCTACCTTTCCCTTAGGCTGTTGTGCCTTCTTGTGCACAAAGCAATGAGAGAACAGGAAAACAAGTAATAGATTTTCATTAGATTTGAGACAAACTTTTATTTTATATAATAATTAATTGCGAATTAAATGTGATTTTCATTTAATATAATAATAATAATAATAATAATAATAATAATAATAATAATACTGTAATCATAATTGAGAGACAGAGAGACAACAGAGCACAGGGAGGACTGGGGACGAGAGAGAGTGAGTGAGAGGCAGACTACGAGAAAGTGTATGAATGAGTGATAAGTGGACACAAAGTGATAGACAGAGAGTAAGTGAAGAGTTAAGCGATAAGTGGTATAATAATCATGAAATAGTTTGTGTCATACGAGTCATACTTTTCTGCGATATTCCTCCATAGAGGCCTCGTATCTGATCTTCTCCTCGTTCTGCTTCTCAACGTACGGCCGTTTGTCCTCTTCAGTCATATTCCTCCACCTCTCGCCCCCGAGCTTCGCGAGCGCCGCCACACCTCCCTCGGGCTCTTTGCCCGCCATTTCTTTCCTAAAGTCGCCCATAAACAGCATGAACGCAGTGCCCGGCCGTTTCGGCTTATTTGCATCCCTGGCCGGCTTGAAGATAGCCATTTCGCGCTTATATCGGTCCCGATCTCTGGCCGCAGTCTCGAGGAAGGGCTTCTTATCCTCCTCTTGCATAGTATTCCACTTCCCGGCGC